ACGATTGTATCTAATATTTTATTATAAAAATGAAGGATTTTTAAATTGTTAGACCATCAATACTTTTTGTTATAGGTGCCCGCACATGAATGCGCAGATTTCTCTTAATTTTCCATCGATGCAAGAACATTGGAATGTTCAGAAGTTATCAGTGTAAATTATTCTTTGAAATGTCAATCCACGATACAAGTATGTATAATTTATGAATTTGCTGACGATTTATTATGGGCCTCCCAGCCCAATGGATGTAACTATTATTGTACAAATATAAGCGAATACTACTTTTACTAATTGACATTCCTCTGCATTGCGTTTTCTATTTATTATTATTATAATACCATTGTACGTCTCCATAAAACGTACATACCGTCTCTGACTTCGTCCTACTCTTTCGTTGATGCTGTAAGATAATTTTCATTTCAAAATCTATCAACTTAAGACAAACTGTCATCAATTCTACGCAAGCTAGATAGTAGTTAAAACAAAGCACTGAGTAATGGATATATCCCCAGCATGATTATGTTTTTTCACGTCCTTACAGTATTATCTATCTAGATTATGTGTTTGCACAGTCTGATGGTAGCTTTCATCGCCGTTTATTTACCGTTTTATTTGATAATAATTGTACGCTATACTTCCAAAGCTGAATTCCGCTGTGTAACAAATGTCTTATTATATATTGACTTCTTTGGAAATAGGCAAAGGAATATAGAAAATTAAATAGTGTGGTCATCATTGTCAAATATACAATGTACTCTTAGTCTCGTTCAACCAAACTCTCGCGTGATTTCAAGCAATATCTACTCTGAATGATAGTACCTCCTATGAGAAAGATCTCACAGAGCCACACGAGGCAGAAAGAGACATATGGACTTGCTCCCAATCACGCTGCCTTCAATTTATATTGATCATGAAATTGTTACCTCCCATGCAAGGGCACGGAGTTGATATTCCTACCGTATAACCACTGTTTTTACAATCATCAGAAAACTGAAAATATTGTTACCATAAAAAGCAATGCTAGTTAATTCGTTGACATAAACATTGTCATATAATAATTACACACCTTTCTTCCAGATTGGTGTCCTTACATTCAGTTAGCACATTATCTTTTCAGGAGAGAGTTTTTAAAATAATAATTTAAAGTCATTCGTTCAGAAAATGAAACAGAAAAGTGCAGATACATTTTGTCAAAAATTCGACTTAGAAATATATTATTTCTGTATCATTCTTACAAGTGGTCTTTTTGTGTGTGCAATACGTAGTTGTTCATGTGAAAAGATACGCAAAACTGTTAATATAGCTTTTAATGTCAAATAAAACATGACGATATTCAATCTCAGAATTCTTTTCATTGCCGCTGTATGTATGTATGTATGTATGTATGTATGTATGTATGTATGTATGTATGTATGTATGTATGTATGTATGTATGTATGTATGTATGTATGTATGTATGTATGTATGTATGTATGTATGTATGTATGTATGTATGTATGTATGCATGCATGCATGCATGCATGCATGCATGCATGCATGCATGCATGCATGCATGCATGCATGCATGCATGCATGCATGCATGCATGTATGTATGTATGTATGTATGTATGTATGTATGTATGTATGTATGTATGTATGTATGTATGCAATCGTGTGCTTGCATATGTATGAACAGTTCCTATTTCAATTAATCAAACTCAGCCACTAGAATGCTGGTATAAGTTAAAGAATTCATTCAAACCTGTTGTCATTCATTCCCTGTCTACGATTCCCAGAAAGAGTGAAACCATCAACAGCACAAACACTTTGACGAATTTTTTAAATTGTACTATCACACACACACACACACACACACACACACACACACACACACACACACACACACATACACATCAAGACTACAAATCATATGGCGAATAACAACCCTTTCAAGCGCACTGGATCCACCAAGTGATCACGTGTGTCATGGATTGATTAAGATAGATGCAATAAACTGACGACGAACAATGCGAAACTAGTAACTAACAAGCCTGAGCGCTTTCGACTCTTAATGAGTCTTTTTCAAAGGCAAATACAAAGGCAAATACAAAACATATAAAAAACAAACAAATAAACACAAAACGTGTTTGTTAATCTCTCTCTCTCTCTCTCTCTATCTATCTATCTATCTATATATATATATATATATATATATATATATATATATATATATATATATATATATATATATATATATATATATATATATATATCCAAATGATTTATGAGCGTGCCTGATGATGGTTTACATTGCCTGGTCAATGGAATATTTGCAATGTCACAGAAAAAGTTTGAAATAAATAATATTTTGCTTAAATGCATTATAGAGATCTGTCACAGTCTGATTAAAAATCACATTTCTTTTGTCCTACCTGAAGATCGGACAGCGATCATTAGGAGTCCTGTTATGCTAACCATCTAGCCAATCAGTCGATGAATTATATCTTCGAGTTTGGAAGACAGCAGTATGGCTGAAAAACATCAATGAGTGCCGCACTATTTGACTCGATTTTAAATTTCTGAATGCTGCGTTTCCAGTGGCTAATTCAAAGGTCACCAGAACCACACTCCTAAAGGGGCGCTCACCAGTTAGTATGCACTTTTGAGAGGGCGACGTATGTAAGGTGAAGTTGTTTGCATTGAAAACATGCAAAGTGGAGAGAATGTTGACATACCTTCATGCTACTTTGATGTAATGTGACTGACATATCTTTGAATATTCTACTTTTGAAAATTGTAAATGATCTCAGCACACTTCTAACTAAAATGACTGTTCCCTTGTGCTCCAAAAATCAGCCCGAATTTGTCTAAAGTACACTGTCCTTAGCAGCTATTAAAATAGGAAAATGAATTTTGCCATGCAGGACAATGCAAGCTTCTGAAAGTACAAATAATGAATTACTAAATATATAAAATGTAAACAAGTTATCAGCTCTTTTGTTTACAATTTACCTCTGAAGTTCAGGAAGTGAAAATGACCAAGTGGAGCTAGCACTTTTTGAAAGGTGCACCTCTGGAGTAAGGTCAAGCTGTATACTTTATAACCCATCAATCATACACCAAAATAAATGGAATTAAATTTTCTTTTAATAATACCTTAGATATACAAAGTAACTTTAAATAGCCATTATAACTAGTGAGGAAACACGGTGGAATTCTTTTTCTTTAAAATTCCAACACTATGCAAAATACAAAACTGTAGAGCGCCACCTAAGCAATTGCTGTCAGAATTTCATGTAAGCCATTGAGGAACTTATGAATATAGCTCATTTTTCAAATACATATAAATTGATCGAGGTAGAGATTAAATAGCAAACTTGAAGTCGCGGCAACAAAATGGAAGTATTGAAATGATAAGTGAAGACAGAGAAGATTAATCAAAGAGATGCTTTCAGCATTATATAATAACAATGTCATCCACACTCGATTTATATTACGAAATGCTGTAAAACGCTGCAGAAGCAGGGCTGGGATCGCCCTTGGTGAAAATTTTAGAAAGTATTGCTAAAACAATCAAACAAGAACTTTCACCAAAATATACAAGCAATCCATCATATTCGATGTTGTTGCCAATACAAATATAATCTCTCTCAGGACTGGCTCGAGAAGATTCATTTCTCGATAACGGGTCACTTGAGTGTCAAGTTGGAAGATATTTTAGTTACGTTTGCGAGCCAATTCCATGATCCAGAAAGACATGTATGCTTTTTTGCAAGGGCTTGATCTACAAATTCGTATTATTCCAAGACCAAAAATAGGATTGATCGCTTGATGAACACCCTAAAAGTATGTCGTATTCTCCTGATTCAGATGCTATATGATATCTATGAGGAGAAAAAATGTAACATGCCATTATGAACATTGTAAATTGCATTTTTCGTGTTCTTTGTTAGTCTTTGTGCCGGATTATGCTTTAAATGTGATATTAGAGCAATGTCAACTAATCAGTTTTGCCGAACATGAAGATCTGTTCTCGATTATTATCGTGCACGTGGACGAAGACTAAAACTAAGCAACAAGGAAAGAACGTATTGTTGCAAAAAAGCCCAATGAGGTCAGTAATATAGAAACCAGTGAAATTATAGTCAGGATTAAATCATTTGCAGTATTTCTGATCTGGGAAAATACAAACATTATTTAAAAAGCTATTAATTAGACAATGAAATTATAGTCCTCGACAAAAGATACAATGCTGATACAAAGATACAAAGATGCAAATGCATCTTGTATACTGACGTTATTATGACCTTCCCCATATAAGCTTCAAAAGACTGTAAAGCAACCTCGCACAATGGCTGCTTAGCTAGGATCAAAATGAATACCTGGGCTAAGCGCCTCCAAATAGCATAGGTTGATGATGATGAGGAAATACGTATAATTGAAACTGAAGTTGACGTAAAATTACAACAGATAAGTTCCAGAGTTTGAGTTACATAAACGTCTTAGCGATCTAAAAGTTTATCGGGCAATTATCCCGATCAAATACGAACCATTTAAAGATGCAATGAAACTTCTGTTAAGGATGCATCCCTCAGCTATATCAACATTACAGCGCACACTCACCTCATGGGTGCTATAATGATATGTTTAAAATCACAAATCTGTTCAAAGTGATTTAGATGTAATCTTAAATCGTAGACACATATACCGTTCAAGAGTAAATTTACAAAAGGTTTTGCATGCATTCTTGAGACGTTTGAGTGTATGTGTGTGTGTGTGTCTGTGTGTCTGTGTGTCTGTGTGTGTGATTTGATTTTAACTTAGCTTTAAACATTTTTTGGTCATATCGCTACGATATTAAAAGTGTCTCAGTTTATAATGATGTTTAGCACTAGGACATCACGTCGCAGACATATAGCATGATGTCCCATCCACTCACATTATCCTGATACCAGGCCGACCAATCATAACACTATCCTCTTAGCGCATAGCGTGGCAGCTGTTAGTACCATTTTCAAAGTGTTTGGCCGGGGTTCGAACCCGCGACATCCCGCATCCCTGGCGGACGCTCTAACCAACAAACAGGAGCGGCCTCATATATTTTTAAACATTCACCAAGGATGGACTGATTCTTGGAAGTTCAGCTGCATATTTCTCTGTTATAGCTTTACCACAGGTAAAATTATATTTAAACATCAAAGTATATTCCGTGACAAGTATTGACCAATGCAAAAAAATGAAGACATTTGATGTTTTGAATTAGTACTCTTATATGCGAGCGAAAATACAGAACATCCTCGATAATACAAACAGCACCTGAGCAAACTTAGGATAAATACCATTACATTTTCTGTACAAGTTACAAGCATTAGTGTGTTTGAGCGACTCGTCCCTGACTCAAATGGTAATATGTTTGTCTTGAATAAAGGTGACTACGTTAAAATTTTACTATCGCGACAGACTGCACCGGGTGATCTCACAGAATTCGTGCGCTTTTAAGAACAGTGAAACACGAGGTTCCCGCGAATTCGTTGAAAGTCCCACAGATGAGAATGTGCTCTGCGAAATATCTATAATTCAGATAGCAACTGTTCCACATCTGATTTTTTGAAGCACGACATGGATGGTTGTGAAACTAAATTTGATTAGCACAACGTGCCTAGGAATAAGCATTATTTCACAGTTTGAATCCATTCATAGAGAAAGTTTTACAAATGCGTGTTTAAAATACGGGGTACCAAGCTGATGCTAGTGATGATGACAATCATTTTTAAAGGTATAAAGTATATCAGATTATTGGAACTGGGAAAGTGTAAATACTGGAGTGATTTTGAACCCGAAATTGTGTTAAATACGAGTAAGTTATAAAGTATATCAGATTTTTGGAACTGGGAAAGTGTAAATACCGGAGTGATTTTGAACCCGAAATTGTGTTAAATACGAGTAAGTTATAAAGTATATCAGATTTTTGGAACTGGGAAACTGTAAATACCAGAGTGATTTTGAACCCGAGATTGTGTTAAATACGAGTAAGTTATAAAGTATATCAGATTTTTGGAACTGGGAAAGTGTAAATACCGGAGTGATTTTGAACCCGAGATTGTGTTAAATACGAGTAAGTTATAAAGTATATCAGATTTTTGGAACTGGGAAAGTGTAGATACCAAAGTGATTTTGAACCCGAGATTGTGTTAAATACGAGTAAGATGTACATGCTGGATGAAAAAATGACCATATCAGCGGTATTTCGAAATTAAATACAGAAATTTATAAGTACTAAAGTTTCAATTTTCATTTTTTCTTCAATTAATTAAAACCATATACATGTAACCATATCTGGGTAAGATAAATTAAGAAAATAAGGGTAAAAATAGAAATTATGAAGTAAAGATACCTCTGCACAAGCATTATGGAACAGATAAGAAATCTGGCAAAGTAGTCATTAAACTAATGATTTAATAAAGGAAGTTCATGTTAGTGAAAAATCCTATTTCGGAGCAGAGGTATCTGTGGGCTCCGGAAAATTGTACATAACAATCACAAAGATCAAATTCCCAACATATTCAAGCTGACAAAGCTAGCTATCTATATGCCCCTTCAGAAAGAATTACAGAACAATATTGATACAAAGAAAAGGAGCAGAGTATGCTCCGAAATGATTAACAGATACATACATATGCAACTAGAGGTGACATCTGTCTAAGATCTGGATTTCAGTAGAGCTCTAAGAAAGTTGAACTGGAAAAAAAAAGAGAGAATAAAAGTTTAGATAAATATTGACCTATGACGGTTCTTTCTCGACCTCCTTTATCCTTATTAAAGAGTGAGGTTTCCCTTAACATAGAATTCTGTCATCATCTCTCCATAAATTGTACATGGGGAACAAATATAGAATTTCTCTTTTTTATGTAGAAATATTTAATCAGGGAATGCAAGTGCTGAAGTAATAAATGAAAGTAGCATAGATAATTACTGTTGTGGACGGAAGAAGCTATTTAACAATTCCATTAACGTATAAGTACAAATGCTGGCAACGTCCAAAGATGCACTAGATCCCGCGTGGGTAGATCACAACATAAACGATTTTCCGTATTTTTCGTGCTCGGCTAGGGACAATAATCAATTAAAAAAAAATTACAATTACAGTATTTTCCTCCATGTAAGGTCTTTTAAGGCATCGAGGAAAACCTTGTAGGTGCAAACAATAATATAATGTCGATGCAATGGTTGGGTTTGTTAACAATGGTATGATGGCGTTGTTTGACAATTAAGATGGATTAGTTGATAAAGTACGATATCCAATTGATGGAGAGGAACTCGAAGCGATTCTCAACAACATTGCCACAACGATTTTCGGACTCGCCAGATAAAGCAACGAATTTGCAATCTCGCTGGTCAGCTATGATGTTTCACAAGGACACGTCCAATACTGAATAGTATCAACGTATAGTCTTCGAAACGTCGGACTGGCGGAAGGAGATGCTCAAAGGGTCTGATGTAATTATCTCCTTAGATGATACAATTTGATGACATTGCCACTGCTGGCAAAATTGTAATGTCAACATTAATATTGTGGAAGCCTGCACTAATATCTTCACAAAATGATGACTCGGGTCTGATGTCTTTTATGCAGTATGAATCGTCAACGCTCTCGATCATCACAGTCTCAAAAACATGTTTATTCTCCAGGGACTGATTGTATGGCAGATGAGTACGCAACAAGAACCTTTCAAACACAGTGATATTTTAATAAGCTAGGAAGTTAAACTGTCATCAGGAGCCCAATTAATAAAATTTACTTGCCTTCACCGACAGTCAAGTAGCACGTGCATATAGCACCCAGTTGTCGTACATGCATCGGAATCGAAACATTGACAAAACTATGTAGATTTCCCAGCACAACTTTCAGTGACGCGCCAATAGGGAATTTGTAATGTGAGAACTGAACCTAATTTCAGATAATGATATCCTTTCACGAGGTTGAGGTTGACATTGACCCAAATCACTTTATGACAAAATTATGAAACGAATTTGGGGTCACATGCAGTCTCTCAGGCATATCTAGCAAAAGAAACTAATCGGTTCAATGCAACCAAAAAGAGAACATATCAAACATATTAAAGTTATACAAGTCACAGGTGATATACACAAGACTTTTAGAACTATTTCTTATGAATCATTGCAGTGTTAGCGGCTGCAGCTCCCGCGGATATAAAAGCAGATGCATTAGGAACTCTTCGGATATTTCTATTTTTAATAAAACGGTTAGTGCTCTCAAGTTTTGACCACAAATTTACATTGACACATAGAAATAAACTGGATAGTTTTCTTTTTAATTGAATATTAACATTTTCATACACTGTCATGAAATGACTTAAGGTAGCCCTGACACGAATCTAACTAGGTTTGGTGCGAAAGAAGATCTGATCAAGTTTAGCAGCTGGGTTGTTTTTATCGTCGACAAGGAGTATCATGTCATTTTCAAAGATCGAACTAAAAAAAACTTAACACATCCGAATTAGATATCAATAACGTTGTTTTGAAGCCAGTTGTCGCGAAAAACCTGGCTGACATCACTAAAAACAGGGGAATCAAAGTCTCTGGCCTCAGGAGAACTTCACATATTGGGCTCACATAGATCTCATTCGTATACTCGATCAGTAGAATGATAATATCGATTTGATTGGTTACTGATCAAGGTCAAAGCATTATATACCCATGTGACTTGCCTCTCACAAAAAGCTGTGCTGGGGTGCATCGTAGTAACTTTTCTTGGCGGGACCGTTCAAGTAAATACATGGGTAAAGGGCAAACGATACCCTAGAAATGGAAAATGGAAATAGTTGAAGAAAACACACACACACACACACACACACACACACAGAGTTAAATGAGCTAGAAAGCCAGACATAAAGAAAATATAAAAGAAACAATGATAAACAAATACAATGGTAACGAAAATGCAAATATCTTTAAACTAACTTAATTATTTACATTTGACAAATACCTTTTAAAAGATTTATTGCGTTTGCTCTACCTAAAAATATTTGAGGTCTAACAGTTATATTTCAAAATTAAATGTGTTCATTGAGTTAATCTATTTCATGAGAAATTTGCTGATCACAATAAAAAGAAGATATTTTCATTTCCTTCGTTTAAAACCGGATATATTTCATCGTGTGGTACCAAATCTTGACAATTTACCGAGGCGAATCGTTTAATACCACAATATGAAATATCTGAGAATTAACGCAGGAAAAGAAAATTTCTTTATTATATAATAACATTGCTTTAGAATCAAAGTTTTGAAAGATCCAACTCACTCTTTGTCACAACACGCTCACTCTCACTTAATTTTCGTATAATTCGCATCACTCCCTCTTAATTTTCGTAAAATTCGCATCGCATTCAAAGGCTGATCATACAAGCACGCGTGACTTAAGATTGGGTTGACATAAACTGTAGCAATAAATTACATTTTCGTCATTTTGTAAACTATTTGACCTAATAATGAAAATAGCACACGTCTTATTTAGCAATGCGTTACAGTGGTTTTATCGTTATGGTCAAGAAAGTAAGGGGAAATAACTTCAGAGAGATGCGAACGGGAGTTTCGACAGATTTCTTTATGAAAAAATAATTTCCATGTCGGAAATGTAAAACCGTTTCAATTTATTTGTTGTAAATCACAAAGTACTGGTCTTAATTTTACTTCAGGTACGACTTTTGTAGACACACACAATCGCATGGCATGATGGGAAACGTATTTTCACATGTGACAATAAAAGGATATATATTTCACATGTGAAAATGCAGGAATGAAAAACAAGAAAATTATTTCGTATATGTCTCTAAATTCCACACTTAAGTATTTAACATTTATAAAAATATTTTCTGCATTCATAAACAATTACATTATTTAACCGAGTATCTAACTGCAAAAAGTGAATGTCTCAATAATCCTTGCATAAATCTTCGGCATATCAGGGTCTCTGACGTTCTTTGAAGTCCAGAATACAATTAGTCTCGTTCAACCTGACTCAAGTGTGGCTGTGAGATCTTCGCCACTCTGTTTGGCGAAGAAAACACGAA